CCCGAATTGTGGTTAACGTATAGCATCGCTGTGTGATCCTTGTTTATATTATTTACAAATTTAATGTAAATAAAGATAAATTAATGATAAAATTACGTAAACAACAAAAATTTCAAGACAACGGACATTATAAGAAAACTTTTCATATTAAAAATTCAATGAAAGTAAAAATTGATGTCAATTAATTTGGTTTAAATTTGGTAATAATATACTGTATACTCAATGTCTTAGATATTACAAGATAAAAATATTATATCGTTAGATAAAAATACAACACAATGAAGATGTGCCACAACTTTATAGCTAATAAATTCATACATTTTATACTATTACAATAATAATAAAAGTTATACCGTCTCTTAATTCTTACAAACCCTTTATGCTATTTTTATATCAATTATTATTAAAATTTAGATCATTTCATTAGTTTCATAACTTATTGGAGTCGATGATCAAACAAAACAAATGTTTAATTTTGTGGAAGTTGTTACTTGTTTGTCGTAAAATATTTTTAAACAAACAATTAATCTGCACTTTATTTGTATTAAATATTTGCCTAAAGTTTTTTCGTTGAATTTGTTTTTAAAGCAAAAAAGTATTTGTGTTACGAAATATTCTTTAACGGTCTGACCATCCGATTAACTAAAAGCAAATACAATGCAAATGAAGAGTATATTAGAAAAATATAATATATGTTAAATTTATTATTTTTTAAATGAATATTAAACACAATGCTATCATTTTAGATCTAAAAGAGTTAATCGTTTTATTACTTGACTATTGAAGAGTGAAAGTTAATAATTTTTATCATTACATTATATACAAAACATGTTTGAAAAATTAGTTTATTTGCAATTGATTTCTCATAATTTCCCACAACATGTAATTCGTTGACTAAAAACATCACAAATTGATGATAAAAACCTGAAATTATAGAGAAATTATTTTGGATCGCAAACACCTGTAAGACATTAAAACATTGTTTTAAAGTTTAAGACAATAATTCAATCAAATTTATAATTATAATTTCCTGTAATTTCTATAATAATAAGTAAATTAATAGCTAAACATTTCTATATTGTTATTTCTTAGAAGATTATAGTTTATTAGATTTAGATAATTTTCCCCCAAATGTCAAATTCATGATACTTTTACTTTTTTAATATAAAAGATCGCTATTTGTTTTCAGTTATATCTAAAAAACTTTTGTAATTTAATATAATAGATAATTAAAAGTATATAATTTAATTTATAATCTCATTACAAATATTAAATCTAATCTCAAAGGATAAAACAATCAATAGATATAAAGTAGAATGGGTTACACAAAAACATATTTGAAAATCCATCAATATCATTTTTAAAAACATTTATAAAAACACGCTGTAATGTATATGAGAGGCCTTAAATATATCTGTTTTATAAAATATAATACAATAAATGTCTTTATATTACTTGAGATTCATAAATCTTTAATCAATCTCTGAAATGCCAAACAATTTATGTCAAGTTCTTTCAAAAACTTTATTGAATTCAATTCAAATCTCACTATTATTTACCAAAATCACTGAAAGTCACTCTTTTTCCAATGACTCTCAAAAATAAGTCTACAAAAATTTGCTGTTATTTTTATTGACCTAAAATTATCTAGGATACTATAAAAACTTATTTTGCATAAAATAATATATAAATTTTTAATTTAAATAAAATGTTGAGAGAGAGAGAGAGAGAGAGAGAGATGAAATTTTATATTCAACGATATAATACTAACATACATGTATATTTTGCGAAAAGAATTATGTTAATCGTCTGTTTATTAAACAATAGTCTCATTTAAAATGCATAAAATTAAAAAAAAATACTGTTCTCTCTCTCTCTCTCTCT